TACATTGGATTCATGCAGATCATCACAGGCTTATGAGTTGGCCTGACATGCACCTACTATATGTAGCACAGTGTGTAGGGCAGCTAGATTAGGGGCCGAAAACTCTTTCAGTTTTCTCTTCTCTTTTCTTTTCGCTACCCACAAATAGCAACACACCCACGTAATTTGACCATGAATGATTGGCTTGGTTATTGCTTCTGCAAAAGACAGCAATAGCATGTGAAGTCCCATTAAGCTGTCCCGCACGATGCCATTTTTAATGTTTCGAAAATGGCCCAATCGACACTGCACGAAAGGCAGTGCAAGTGCACTGCTTACAGGTTTTTAGGTAATAAGATGGGGAGGGGGAAGAGTGGGGCTGGAGAACTTGGCCTGTCTTGTGCTCTGCGAAGTTTAGGATTCCTTATTCTTTTATGGAACCTAGATCTCGAGAAAAATGGAATTCGTCAATCAGGGAGGTGTTAAGCGTTCTCACATACGAGTCAGTATTAGCATTTCTCAAAAACTCGCTTCCCTGGCATTCTTGTGTTCCAAGACCTCGCTACTATGTGAGCAAACATTATTTGAACTACTTTGTATTTCACAGAGTATTACAAAAAGGCTAACAAACATGCGACCGCTGGCGACCAAGATGTCTAACTAAGAGAACATTTATTCGTCTGCATTGGTATGTAGCCGAAAGATTACATAATGCTCCTTAATGAGTGAACATGTTGCAATCCATAAATAATGCTTACGCCAGCTCGAATACAACACGGGCACCCCATTACGACAGAATAACCTCAATTTCTCTCATAATCGTTCCACGGATACACAAACCTCTACAAATCAGATTGACTGCGAGTTTCATTGCGAAAAACCATGAGCATAGAAGTCCAAAAATAAAGTATCGCTAAATACATGAGATTACAGAAGGAATGCCATGAATCAAGTCCCTCGAGCGGGGAGCCACTGGACCACTCTGGCTCCCGATAGGGACGAATGGAGACGTTACCTGCGCTCGCTCGAGAAAATCGATGATCGATGAGTGATGCACGTGATAAATGAAAATTTATGAGAGGCCAATGACGTCTTCAAAAAGCATTTGCACATGAATCCTTTTGATCGTTCGCTCACGGACTCTCTCGCTGTTGTAGCAGGAGCCGGCCGGAGAAGAAGAGTACAGCTGCTAGAATCCCAATACAAATCGTAGCGAACACCACACTGTAATGGGTGATTAGAATTATATTCTATTCTACTGTGTAAATTTTGTATAAACTATTGTAGTTAGTTATAAGAGTTACTAGAGTTACTAGCAAAAGTTATAAGAAGAATGAAAAATTCGAATTCGAAGAATGAAAAAATCAAACATAGTGATGTTTACAGAAATCTGGAAAAATCCCGCATATATTTGATTCGATCCAAAGTAGGTCTTGAGAGAGCGAAAGAATCTCAAGTAAGGAGAGTGTTAAAAAATATGCAAATGATGAAAGACCTTTCGCTCCACTACCTCACAGTCAACAAAGGCAAGTTAACACTGCTAATCCTCCTATATGTAACGCGCTAGGTATGTCTGTTCGTTGTCGGTGTGTGTGTTGGACCGTGAATTGACTTCCGTTCCCATGGTCCTGGAGCGTTCAAATTTAGTAGGAGTATAGACGACAGGATGGGAACTCTTGCGGTGTGTGGCAGGACTGGACTCCGCCTACAGGAGCGGGGATCGCGGGAAATAAATGTCTGACTGAAAATTCGTAACTCCTATACTCCTGGACCAGAACATCCAAATTTGGAAAGGGTGCAGACGACAAGCCAGTCTTAACACGAAAAAGAAGCAACCTGGCGTCAGCCGGATGAACCTCCCGGTAACAATATATGCGCTCCTGGCGTGACTCCCTCTGTCGTCTTCAAGAACTCTACCACCACCACCGACCAGCGAAACCGTTATACAGTAGCGCTCAAAAGTCTTCGGTGAAATACTTTGTCGCTTTTTCGTTCATTACTTTTTTCTTAGTGGACCAAATCGCGCGAAATTTGGATATGTTTAATTAGAGCATATTTCACCCTTTTTCCAACGCTATTTGATTGCAAAACTGCAATATCCACAGATAGAGCAAGGTGTTTGTTGCGGTAGCAGCTTTGCTAAAACTAAAGTTGTTGACGTTTGCACTTATTCGCACCTTACGTGCGTTTTTCCCATCTATTGTGTTCGGCGTTACCGCTCGTACACTTTTGACATGACATAAAGGAAAGAGATTCTAGAAGGGCTATCATCTGTATTTTCAGTAGATTTTGAGATCATGCTCTTTGGAACATCTGGAACATGATCAGATTGCCAGTTCATAGTGGTAAATATTCACAATACACCCACGCTCCTAATATAAAAATTTCGCATGTTTAGATTCAGTAGGAAAGGAGTTACGACAGAAAAGTACGACTGAAGAACCATTTCTCGAAGACTTTTGAGCGCTACTGTATGTATCCTTCGACGGCGCGCATCTCTCCCTCTTTTTCTTTTCCACATTATAACAATCATATTACTCCATTTGTTGATGCGAATATGAATCCAGCATCCAGCAACCCATGCAGTAGTCAACCCTTCGGTGAATTCTTCACTAGGACCGGCATTGCAGATGCGTATAATGTGTCTCTTTGCTTCAGTTCCTTGAGGTAACAAAGCAAAGGCCCGAAGCAGGATAGCTTATAGAGTATGATATCATATACGACTCCCAATATTGCATGTGCATGGCTTCTCCAACACTTGTCTAATCCCCGCTTGAACTCGAGGAGTCAAGTGTAGCTTCCCTGAAAAGGGTACCTACTCTCCAGAAAAAAAAATCTCTGCTTGAAAAAGAAATATTCCCAAATTATATGGTTGCCATAGTTGTTTAGGAGAACGTCCGATTTTTGAGGAGACTTCGTGCATGTGCATGAAATGACCAAGGGCAAAGTGCTGGCCCCACCCTTGCCCTCTGCACCCTTCCTATTTTGTGATACCCCTTATACTACATATAATGAAAGCTAACCTACATTAATTACAGAGTAGATAGTCTCAGACCTCCTTACTAATATGTTCACAACGACCTCCTCCTTCAATCATTTTCGTTTGCCTTAAAACGAAAATACGTAAATATCTACAGGGGAAGGAAAATAGGAAATGTGGTGTGGTGCTGGAAATGATAGCAGCGAAAAGTGGAAAAGGTGGAAGTACTGTTCGCCATGGAATGTGTAAGCACAGTCGAGGAGAAATCTGGTTGCAGGCAATTAGTAGGATGCCGTACTGTTAGACGCATTTTCCTGTGTTTCAATATCAAATGAATGGATCGCACTGATATCTCAGCTGATATAAAAGAGAATAAGAAACAAAAAAATTAACACCTTGACGACCATTCAGCCCTTATGTTTACTACTCTTTTTAGCGATTGATTTCTCGAATAATCTATGCAAAAAGGATGGTGACATTTATTAAAACGAAAATTCACTCTTGTGTTGGATAAAGCGTACAAACAACCGAAACGCTGGCTGAAATTTGAATAGTCTTCGATCGCATTCATCTTGTCTTGGCTTTGGGGTCTATTACTTCCTCCAAGTTATGCTTCATCGACGGAGTAGGAATAGAAGAAGGAACACCGGCTGCCAATAATGACTCGACAAAATTTTCCTCAAAATCGCTGATCCTTATGTCCTGTTATGTCCTTGTACCGCTTCCTCGCATGAGCAATGACGGTTCGGGTGATGGGATGGAAGGAAGTCCTTCTCCACCATTTCCATGCCACCCTTACGAACGGGGTATACTACGCCATTTGGTTGCATTAGTCTACAAAAACTTTCATAGTATTGTGGTCATCCTTTACTACGGGTTCCACGTATTTTTCAAAAACTGGCGTCATTCTTTGTGGAAATCGACAAAATGTCCCACTTGTCTTTCCATTTCGATGCCTTGATCCATTTTGCGATTTGGTGAAGCAAAAACTTCACATTTTTTNTTTTTTCCAACTTTCTATCCTTGATCGTTTGTTGAATCTCTCGTTTTCTTCTCGATATACCAGTCGGGCCGGTCTTTTTGCTAGCAGTTTTTCGGTGAGTCTTACACCTAAATAGAAGTCGTCCGTACACAAAGCTCTTTTCTGGACCAGAAACTCCCACATCGGTCCGAGAATAATCGAAACTGCTAACAGACCATTTCGTTGTGCCGAGTGCTGTTAGGACTTTTCCCAGCGTAGATTTCGATCTTTGAAATATAACTGCCTTCGGCACTAAATTTGAATAGTTTGACACCAGTGCCTTTTCGAAGGAATATGTTGCTTGAAAAGAATGCACCCTCTGAAAGGGACTGGTGACTTTTGATACAGACGTTTCGCCGGCTCTATAGTATTTCATGCATCGTTCGTTGAACAGCTCCAAAAATGAGATATTTCAGAAAGACGGTCGTCATTAGCATTTTGACTGTATCGACCAGATTTAAGGCTTGTAAAAGCTACTCGAAACGATTTCTGGTCATGATTAGCTCATGACTGAACGACCACCAAGTGCTGGCTCTAAAGGGAACGCTCCTTGATGTGGCCATTTCCACCAAATCCATTTGAAGACACATTCGAAAAACTCATGCATTCCTGTTTTGCCGGTTTCCATGTATTGTTTTCTAACTGCGGCAGCTTTTGCATTTCTATACCTTTTGGTTTCTGCTGTGTTCCAAGCCATAATATTATTGTCGGAGAATAATTTGAAGTAATTGATTGGTTTTCCACATCATCCTGTACGTCGTTATCCTTCTTGAGAACGAATCCATCTATTCTTCAATCTCACTTGACCAGGAATGGACACTGCCTTCATCCTCCGAACTACTAGTATCAGATCCTTTTCCTGATGCCAAAAGAAGCGCCTAAGCTGCATCATCCTCATCTTCTGCTTGCTTCTCACAGAATTCATCAGTACAGACTAAAATTCATGCTCTGGTCAAAATCATCGTTAGCTGTGAACTAAATTTGAAAATTCTGATAAAATTGGAGAAGGAACTACTGAAATTACAAATAATTACAATAGTAAAACTGGATCATGTAGTCCGCATGTGTCACAAGTGAAGTCTCTCGCGGCACCTTCCGCCCAGGTGTGATTGTCGTCAATGTGTCAATGAATATAAACAAAACAGAATACCAAGTGATTAATAAATTAGCGATGACTAACCGAAACTTCACAAAGCTATGAGAAAGTATTCATCACTTACACTGCCCATGTTTCGAAATGAAAGCAGCACTGATACGGATTATCGTCGCAACAGGAATAGTAGTGAAGAAAGGAGTCGCGTGGACAGCTGTAAAAGCTCATATCTACTGGAAAAACTTGTTACTCTTGATCTGGAGTGTTCAAATTTTGATGGAATTCTGATGACCAGGTTGGGATTTGATAATAGGTGACAGGAAAAGATAACTGAAGACAAGAGGAGGCGAGGAATGCAAACACCGCTTCATCCGTTGCGTTCTTATTGTCCACTGTAGAACCTGACATCTCAGAGTGTCATGTGGAGAACGTGGAATTTTGGCATCGCATGCTGACAGTAACAGACAAGTGCTGTTAATGGCGCCAGAATGCAGAAACTCCTAGACACTCTCCTAAGCACTATCACTGTGCAGTCATGACAAGAGCATGCGGTAGAGTCGGGCTCGTGGATAATCGGTTAAGGAGAGTGATAGCAGCTCACAAAACAGAAAAGGTATCCAAGAAGGAAAGCCCCACTTAGTGTCATACTCCTTCTGGTTTTACGGTAGCTCCTTGCCAGTTTAGTTTGTATGTTATGTGAAATATAATAGCAGTAGAAGTAGGGTGACAAGAATTGGACACAGCAATGAATGTGTGTATTTGTTGACACTAGAAGGGTTTTTAGAACGAAGAATATATATGAAGTTGTATACGCCTATACTCAATACTGTTGCAATACTGGTCAGGGTTTCATTTTAGGATATTCATCCTTCTATTGGGTTGCCCCGGGAAGAACTGAGTTTTTGCAGCGGTTTTTTTTTCGAGCACCTGCATTCCAGAACGCTCTTCAGTTGATTTACATCACAGCTTCATAATTGCAACTAAAAAAAAGACAAGCTTCATTGCCATCGGTGATTTCAGGAACGTTTGAACATAGTCTGTGAGCCTGCAATTTCGGCACATTTATTTATTTATTTATTTATTCATGCACCTCACTGAGTGCGCACAGCCAGAAGCAAGTAAGCCACCCGCCGCCACAGTACAATGTGAGACTAGGAAGATGGGCGCCAGGGACGTTCGAGTCACCACGCACTTCGCCGCGCAATTTGCCGCGCGTATCCTCGGACGCACGTAAGAACCCATACCCGGCAATGACCAAAGCTGACCGTCGCGTAAACGAGCGAGATTTGGCTGAGGGAGTATCCATGAGAATAGTTGAAGGCACTGTCCACGGTAATTTTGGGTAATCCAAATTATGATAAAAAAATGGAAGACAAGGCCGAAAATAGTGCGACGAAGGCAAAGAAACTGTGTGAATAGGTGTTTCCAAAGTGAAAGAAGGCTCCGAAAAATCGTTAAAAGGGGGCTGGACGGGAATGAGACCAGAAAAATGAAGAAGAGTGAGTCGTTTGGACGAGCTAAACAGCGTGGGTCATTGCGTACGTGTGAGTCCTGGTACAAATGACTGACTACGGTTAGCAGAAATGTCCTTTGAAATTCATTCAGTAAAGCATAAGTTATCAAAACCCTAGTAACAACAAAAATAGCCCATCTTTTTCAGCCTCTTGAGGCTGAAAAATGGACGAAGAATCGCAGCAGCAAAAAGAATAACAGAGAATAAAAGAAGGGACAAAATCGTCGCCTCATCACTCGACGATCAGCTGATTATGCGTGGGTCCTAGAACGAATTTCGCCATCTGTATCGCCCCGACACTCGTCTCACGTCGATCGAGGGGCCGAAAGCCCGGGCGATCCGGTAACGGGGCTCCCACTACGCTCTAGCTGTACGTTTTGGTACTCGACAACGTCCTTAAGTGCCACTGGATATTCCTGCGAGAAGAACTCGGAAACCATTGTTATCGCGAACTGTGCCTTTAACGATAATTCCGAAAAACTTGGACTTGTAAAATAGCTAGACGGTCAGGTGCTTCGTGGGTTGCGGGAGTAACACTTGACACCGCTAGATAGAGTCTACGATTTGAGCATCAAACGCAAGAAAATCACCGATTGATGAACAGAATAGTGATTGCTGATAGTAGTCGGAATGAGCGCACCGTCAGCTCGATCCTCTATTTGTTGAAACTTAATAAAGCAATTAGAAGTAGACCTCCAAAATAGGTAGTAGCAAAAGAATAGTGTTGTAACAGACGTGACAGGCCTGCATACATTTTGATGAATCGGCGAAAATTAATGGAACTCATTTGAAAGAGGCTGCATACATTATATAGCTCCGATCTCTCGCCATCCGAATATCAATTATTTCGGTCATCACAATAGTACCTGCATGAGAATCTTCATAAGGAGCTACGAAATAACTAAGAAGATGGTGAAAAATAGTCGAACAAATTGAAGTATATGATTGACCGAGGTTTATTCATAACAAGACTTTTTTTGAATCGCTCAATATTCATTTTATCCTTATTTTCTTTACTATGCTGGTAATAATTACAATTGACTTTATATTTTTCTTCCGAACAACCTAATTGGGCGGTTGGTCCAGAATGGTGGAAGATATTCATAGTGTGAGACCCAACGTTTCGAATAAGAGAACATCTCACTGCTGATGATCGTAAATTTCTCGCTTTGCATTCATTATTCCATTGAACTGAGCAAATGCTCTCAAGCGCCAAGCTATAGGAGTGGGATATCTGACCAAGCAAGAAGTACGATGAAGTTCAAGGCATTCCAACAAATGTTAAAGGATAATCTAACATATTCAAACGTTCATGTATACCGTCTGTATATACCGAATACGATGTTATAGAAGTGATGGCAAGGTCTTGACCTATTTCACTCAACTCGGAAGATCTTGTGATTGATACCTATAAATGTGTTTGTTTGCTATCTGTAAGTATCACTCACGTTTCTCCAAGCCTAAAATCGAGTGCTGGCAACGGCCCATACGGCGCGAAGGGACAAGACCACACCGATGGTGTTGCCGTGACGACTTCGGCTACTGCTAGTAGTAGAGCAGTATAGAGTATCATAGTTGAAACTGTGGACCAGATCAATCTGGAACCGGCACAGCATTCACAGTATCCATGACGAATTAACGCAAATACCGGAAAGTGGCACAATCAGTGAACGTTACCCATTTTCGTCTGCTCCCACTGCTGCGCCCCTATCTGCCTAGCGCTTACAAGGGAGGAGGCTTTCGGAATGGGTAAAGGGAGAACCTTACTAATTAGGGAAGGTAAAGCTACATCCCTAAAGCCCTCAAAAAGCAGTGATCAACGCCCATGATATATTACCTCGAATTACGAACATAACCTTTCATGTTTTACCTCGATTGAGCAGCTCATGAACAGAAGGGTAATTTGATTCATGTATTACCAAAACCCATAGTCGTAACCGGTTGATTGCCAAAATACAGCGCCAATGTTACGATAAAAATTGGAAGCATTAATGGCTAAATCAAATTTCAGCAGCGCGTCCTCGCCTAAAAGATCAGTGCGACGGTTAGTGGCAAGTTCATATTGACTGGCAAGTTTGACTTACTGTATCACGGATTCGTTGAATTTCCGTCAACGACCTGATTAGGCAACTTTTATTCCTTATAAAGAGATCCTGCCGTATAAGAAAAACTTATCTGATCGGAGGTTATTGTTGCTATAGGTCTCCTCCAGTTTTTAGAGCCCGCGAAGGAAAGCAGGAACGAACGGCTGAACTCAAAAAACTTCATAATACATGGATAAATATGATTTCTGTTCGAGGTAAATTTCAGGAAAGCAGTAGAAGGCTCATAAGGTCATACAATTAGAGACAATAGACATATGTATGTGCGGTGCCAAGCGAGATTTCAGTGAGGCAACAGCGCCGAGGATAGCGATTATTATGGCGATTACTGAGCGAGAACAAGTCCTTGGTATTACCGGTTTTCCACCAATAACTGAACAACCTGCTGTGATGGAGCAATGGTAATCACCTAGAACGTTTTTGTCTGTGCCTTGTTTCAATAGTTTCATCGCTTTCCAGATTTTTTTATTATTTTCCTTTGAAGGGTTGGTGGCAAGTTTCGTTTTCATAATCAGACGTCGTCATTTTCTCCTGCCAAAGCAACATTTGAACTGAAATTGCCCCCTTCCCCCAACCAGAATTATACGTCTTCTCTAGAGTCTAGTAGAGTGAAAGTTTTTGCCCTGCTGATCCAGCCCAAACGCGAACCTACCTCATCGTTCTCATTTGAGCAAGAAAACAATATTATTATGTTTCTCGCTTATGGACTGGCACTCTCCTCCTCAGGGTGACCCAC